CACGTCCAATGTCCTCAGCTGTAAAATGGAGATCGTAATGTTATCACCTCTGAGGGTTGTTGTGGGATATATCAGTTGGAATGTGTAAACCACTGTGCAGGGCTGGCATGTAGTAATATTATTATTAATAACAGCTCATCCTCTTCCCACCCACCTGAGCTGCTCAGGGAAGGTCTGATCCTGAGGATCAAGGGTCTGGGGTGAAGAGAGAGGGGGTAAAGAGAACAGACAGGCCTGGCCCCTGCCTGCCCATCTTACAGAAGAGGACACTGAGGTCCTGGGAGGGTAAACGACTTGCCAGGCCACACAGCAAATTAGTGACAGGGTGCTGGTGGGGTTAATGTTCATGAAATGAAAGGCTGTTACGTATCTGACCTGAATAAATAATTTATTTCTGGATTTTAATAATTTAAAAGCCTTCATTTCATCGGTGTCTCATCAAAAATAGAAACTCTACTTTTTCATTCTAGATTTCTTTTTAAAGCAGCACACGGGAGCAAGGGCCTTTGAAGAGTTTTGTGGCTGTGGCCGCCTGGACAGGCTGCAAACACTGAGCGTCTGCTGGACAAGAGGCAAGTTGTCCTCACCTTGAGCCTCCTCCTCCCTTTGCTTCGGTCTGTCCCCACCTGTCCTGGGATCTGCTGCATGAGGGGACGGGAGCTGCCCAGGAGAGCTGGGCCAGAAGCCAGGGTCCTGGGTGCAGTGGGGAGCTGGTGACGGTCAGCACCCCGCCTCACCATAGCCACCAGCTCCCCTTCTTCATGGGCACCTGGGGATCATGACTCCTCCTCTGGGAGATGACACACCGCAGGCCCACAGTGTACAGAAATGTTTGCCCCTTGGAGGCAGGCCTTACAGAAAAGGCAGGGAACCAGGTGGCCGAGGAGCACCGGGGGAGAGGACAGTGGGTGAGAGCAGGCCTACGCTCCTCCTGGGGGAATCTTGTGGCTTTTCCAGTCTGGACTGACCCCGGGAAACTCAAGCAATCAAGGGCTTTCCCCGCCCACAGCAGCCCCAACCTTGTCCCTTTGTTATTACCTTACAAAGCCACAGCTTGCCCAGGACCAGCGTCTTTCAGGGAGACCAGCCAAGGAGACGTCCCAGAACACAGCCCTTGGAAGTTTGGAATTAGCAGATACAAACTACCATATACTAAATAGATAAACAACAAGGTCCTACTGCAGACACAAGGAACTGTATTCAATAGCTTATAATAACCTATAGTAAAAAAGAACATGGGAAAGAATATATACATATATTTATGTATAACTGAATCACTATGCTGTTACACCAGAAACTAACACAACATTGTAAATCAACTCTACTTCAATAAAAACAAAAACACAGCCCTTGGCACGAGCCCAGACAGCCTTGAAGAGGCTGTCAGCTGCCGTCACCGTGTGTTTTCCCGGTCTGCCCAGAGACTGTTCATGACTGGTTCCCTCCCTGGGGCTTCCCCAAAAGGGTACCCACAACTCAAGGTCTCCTCCCAAACCAGGACGCACCCCAGTCCGGCCCCAGCTCCTCTCCCGCCCTTCCACCCAGATCCTGCCATTAGCGTCTGCATCTCCGAAGGTCATCACACCCCTAGCTTTGTCCGGCCCGGCCCGGAACCATCACGCTGTTCAGAGCCTTAGTTCCTCCTGCTTGTGGGGCTGCTTGGGTCTGTTGTTACAATAACCTTTAACATAGCAACCCTCTGGGGAGCTCGGCAGTCTTCAAAGTGCTTTCTATCAGATTAACCCTCCTGATCCCAAGCAGTCCTGGCAGGTGAATAGTAATTATCATTATGTAGCTTGCATGAGACCACCGAGCTAGTAAGTTGGCAGAACCAGGGCAGAAATCAATCCCCATCTGGAACTCCACACCCTTCCCACCCCCTGCCTCCTCTCTCCTGCGGGACCTGGACAGCCCCAGGGAGGGGTTATGAGCCCACTTTCTAGGTAGCAAAGTGAAGAAATGAGCCCAAGGTTCTGGAACAGAGGCGTTGGCCTCCATGAGGGCTTGGTGGTCATCTGCCGGGGACAAAGCTGTGGTCCTCCTGCCTCTGCCCAAGAAGCTGCCGCTCAGGCAGTCAGCCTGGCCCCGAGAAGCAGCTTTCCCCATCTGAGGGCATCCCCACACCGAGCACCCACTATTAAGCACCAGGCCTGATTTTAGACGCTTGGGGTACAGCAGTTAAGTCTTCACGGAATTAACGTTTTTGTGGGGGAGAAAGACAAGGAACAGACGAATGAAAGCATAAATAACAGAGCAGGGTGGGAGCACAGAAGGTCATCCACGGGGGTGGGGTGCTCTCTTTTAAACATGGTAGGTACTTAATAAAGGCTGAATGGATGGATGGATAGATGGATAGATGGATGGACAGAAAGATGAATGGACGGATGGATGGATGGATGGATACATGAATAGATGTATGGATGGATGGATAAATGAATAAATGTATGACTGGATGGATAGATGGATGAATGGATGGATGCATGCATGCTGGATCATGTCTCCCCCACCTTTCATACTTAAGAGCAACCATGGTTGTGGCCCATTTCATCTTCTTCTCAGAGCAGCTCCCAAAGCCCCCAAGACTGGCCAAGGAGGGCCATGTGGAGTAGAGGTGGGCCTGGCTTCCCTCCCACGCTGCCTCCTTCTCTTGTTACCATCTCAGAGCAGCCTCCATGTGCAGGGAGATCCTTGTGCACACGGATGCCAGGCAGAGAGGGTCACGCTCAGCCCTGAAAAGAGCCAGTAGTAGCTGACAGCAGGTAACTGACCGCTAGCGTCCCAGGTTCTGTGCCAACTGCTCTCTCTGCTCCCCAGAGAGGGCCTCACAGCGACCTGGCACGGGAGCCTCACCCCCAGGATCTGACGCGGAGAGGCTGACTGAGGGGAGAGGAGCAAGGACCACTCATGGGGTGGTGGGCCCTCAGAGCCAGTGGGGCCTTTCCAAGTTTCTTGATGCAGCCTTCTCATTTCTAGATGGAGAAATGGACGCCAGGGAAGGGTGAGGACTGACCAGAGATCACGTAAGGAGTCAGGGATGGAAACGGGGTCAAGCCAGGTCCACTAGTCCAGCCCATTTTACCTGCAGGAGATTCTCAGCTGTGGCCCCCCCCCCCGTGGTCCCAGCCATCCCCCATGTTCCCTGTCACCTAAATCCACAGGCCACCCTGCTGGTGTCCCATGTGCCTCAGGCTTGTTGTCAACTCTGGTAATAACTGATGCCAAGGGGGTGACTCCTGCTTGTGGTTTTAAGAAAGGTGCAGACCCACCCACCACGGCGCTTGTCTCTGGGGGGCTGCTCCGGGGAGAACACAGTCCCGGGGGAGCTGCACCGACAGGGGGCACGAGCAGAGTGGGTGGCGTGCGTCGGGTCAGGCAGCAGGTCTCTGCTCCCCCCGAAGCTGGGGCTCCACTCCCGCCTCAGCACGCGGGCACCTGGGCTCACACACTCCGCGTTATTCCAACCTGCCTACTCCCAGATCTTCCCCCCGCACGATCCCCATCTCAGCCACCTCGGAGGAAGATAGACCACCCTCCAACCCCGACACCTGTCTGACCGAATAGAAAAGACAGAAACACAGCCTTCCCTCAACTCCCAGGAGAAGCCATGGGCCAGGGGTGGGCAGGAACCCAAGGGGCTGATTCAGCACAACATGAATCAGAGAATTTTAGAGTTTGCTGTGTGAGAGATTCTGTGAATCACCAGATCACAGAACTGTAGAAACAAGGGCATTTCATGTCATGGGATCAAGGAAACATGAATTCTCAGAATTACTGAATTCTTGGAATCACTGAATCAGAGACTTCAGGAATCATTTGGACAAAGGATTTCAGGATAAGAGAATGGCTGAGCATGTCACCACTCGGGAAAGAGTTGTCTCTGTCCCTGTCTCCTCCCCAGAGGTGTCTCCAAACCTCTAATAGCCCCATCTGGCTTCCCGGCCGTTAGCCTCACCTGCCTTTCGGCCCCTGCTGCCTACCTTCCTGGTGACCTGCCCACTCGTAGCCACAGGGACCACCCCCTCCTGCTAAGAAAACTTGATAAGTTCATTCTTGTCGAGAGGATGAATCCCCAAGCCTGAGCCTGGCTGCCGAGGCCCCTTATGACAGCTGACACATCCTTTCCTGTCTCCCTGTGGTCCTCCAGAGGGGCCGACATGCTTAGTGCATCATAAACAAAAATGGGGCACGTAGTCCTGATCTGTATCTATTATTTGTTGTAGACTCCATCTATGGCAGTCCCAAGATGGTTGGCATTCTCATGGGGGTAGTCAGGGCTCCTAGAGAGGGTCCCAGGAGGGGGACACGGAAGCTGCTGGTGTCGACCAGCTTCCCTCCTGTGGCGTTCCATTGGCCAAGCAGTCCCAGTGCACCAGGATTCAAGGGAAGGGGACACAGACCTCAATGAGAGGAATGTCAAAGTGCTCATGGCCATGGCTGGGGAATCACAGATGCAAGCTGCCCTGGGGACGGGACCTGACCTCCTGGCCACTGGGGACTGAGCACTGCTGCCCTGGGAGGCAGGCAGGAGGATCTAGGCATCCAGGAGCACTTCACGACATGCTGTTGTGCTGGAACGTCCTCCAGTAATTCTAGTCCGTTTCTGCTTGCTCTGTCAGGGCACATGGACGTCCGTCTGGCTCCTAGGCCCCTGAGGATGGGTGTGAGAACAGTTTCCAGTTCCCAATCAGCCATTATTGTCCTCAAAGCCTTGCAGTGTGTATACCAGCCCAGGGAAGCACAGAGGACCCCAGAGGTCCAGGCAGGGTTCTCCACCCATCAGGGCTCTTGGCTGCAAAAACAGAAACCAATTTTGGTCACCTTCAGCAAACCAGGGATTTTGTTTTGTTTTTGCTTTTGCTTTTTGTGTTGTTATTTTTTTAAAGGATGTAGCAGGCTCACAAAATAGACAGGAAGCTGAAAGACAGAGGCAGAAATCAAATGAGCCCCCGGGAGATCAGCCAGAGGCAGTGGCAACCACCTTGCCAGACTTGGCTGCTGACACATCCTAGGCTCCAGCTCTGGGCCCCAGCATGGTCACCTCCACCACCGCTAATGACAGAGTCAGGGCCTAGTCCTGCAGCCAGGGGTAGGAGAGGGGGGCTTCTGCCTTCCTGCTTCCAAAATGGGAAGCAAGCAGACATTGGGGCCCACCCAGCCTGGATGGAAAGGTGAGTTCAAAACGGAAAACCAAAATAGGACATCTGTCTAGTGCTGGTACCTACTTCAATCTCATGGAGCAAGGATGCCTACAGGGAAGATGCTGCCTGACCTGTGTTCTGAAAGTGAGGGGAGTCAACCAAGAAAACAAGGTCACAGCACAGTGAACAGGTGAGTGTTCTTGTAAAATGCGGAGCCCAGATGGTAGACTGGGAGACCAGGAGCAAGCGCCCATCCTTGGCCCACAGTGGGGTCCACAGCTCTCCTCTGGGGTGCAGAACATGTCAGCTTGGCAGTCGGGAAGTCGGCCTTACTGCCTATTTCAATATGTGTTTCCCCAGAAGGGATCTTTGTGGGTTGCCGCTGGCCCCCAAACCTAGAAGCCATCCCTGCTGCCTAGATCAGAATGGGGTGGTGCTGGCGGGGGTCCCAGCACACCTCCCTGTTCCAGGAGGAAGAAACACTCATATCATCCAAGACGGGGAGTCAAGCCAGAGAGGATTCTGCACAATCAGACCTTGTGAAGTTAACTGTCCCCCCTGTAGTCTCCCCCCCGTATTTTAGTTCCCCTTCCACAATTTCTTCTCTTTGTTCAACCTGGGTTCTGCCACTTCTTTGGGTCTTTGTTTTCCTGTGGGGGCCACCATGTACATGTAAAAACCTGCATGCTTTTCTCTTGCGAATCTCTTAGGTCAATTTAACCCTCAGGCCCAGCTGGAGACCTAAGCGGGGAGAGGTCAAGTCTAGCCCACCCCTTTCGGGGCACAGCCAGACAGCAGGGGGTGCACATGGCATCTGGGAGAGTCCAGGCGGGGTCTCGGGAGTAGGATGAACCTTGGACTCTGCCTGAGCAGACAAAGAACAGACAAAAACCCTCTAGTCCTAGACGACATGCAGGCCGAGTGCAGACAGATGAACCAGTTCACCGGCTCTGCCCAGCCAACCTCACTCAGTCAGTCCCCTGCCACAATCCTGTAAACTCCAGGTTTCCAGCCCTTGGTGGACCACTGGGAGACAAGGGAAGGGAGTGTGGGGTGCAGGAGAATGGGGTTCCCCGAAGATGACTCAGGCAGCCACAGAATGTAGCTCCATCACTAATCAAGGCCATGAACAAGCCAGTGCCCATCCGCTGGGGTGATGGTTCCTACGTGGCGTGGCTGTCAGCAAGTCAGGCCTGCAGGAACGCCACCTCCCTAAAAGGCAACCAAGACTCCAGCCAAGTTCAAGTCCTGTGTTGCCAATAAATCACATGGACTTTGGGCAATCAGCTCTCCTGTTGAGGCTTCAACTTCCTCCTCTGGACAATGAGGTGCAGTGGGTTTTCCTACTGATCTGTAACATCCCATTTTTAGGATCTCAGTCTAATAATATTGCTGTTAAAAATAAACTCTTCAAATGGCAAGGTTGTCCCCATTAACTCCTTATAGAGTATAAGAAGAAAATTAGCCAGGAGAGCACGGAAATCCTGTTTTTAGGGCAAATTTCCTTTGGGTTATAAATAAGTGGATCTTAGTGGAAGAGAGCCCCGCATGCCGGGTCTGCGAGGCCCAGTGGCTTTGCCTTTCACATGGGCAAACACGCTTCTGGCATAAAGGATGTGATGGGCCGGGGAGGAGGCAATATTCTTGTTGACAGCTGTTGCCAGGCTGCAAACAGGTAGAAACAGCTGGCTCTTACTCACCTTGGAAATCACCAGGAAGCTGATTAAATTTTCTTAGAATTACAGGTGGGGGCCGGGAAGCCTATTTTTCTCCTTAAGCAACTCACAGCTCAAAGCTGGACTGGAAACAAGGGATGTGGTTCTCGTTTCTGCACCGCCACGCATTTCACAGGGCGACCCAGGGAAGTCACTTCCTCTCTGTTTCCCTGCCTGCAGCGTGAGGGGTTAGCCTAGATCCGTGGTAGAGTCCCCGGGTTTCAGGGCGCCCCCTCAGGAGGCACTGTGGGTATGAAGCCCACGCTTATCTATTTTTTTCCCCCAGAATGTAGAAATGGATTTGTTTTTTCACGTGTCCCCATCTGGGCATGTCCAAGTTCAATTACAGGTTAAGTAATAGTGAATCTTTTGTTTCAATCAAAAGTACAGTACTTATCCCATCTAATTCTAGCAGGTCCAATGAAGTGGAAATAATGTATTCATAGTAATTATATTAAAATCATGTGTCTCTGACGAACACTTAGGTACAATTTTATTGAACTTCACTAAGCATAGGTGTGGCATCAATTCAATAACAGCAATTAAACCAAGAACTGTTGATCAAAATTACTTTTAGGCTAATGTCTCTGGACGTGAGGGGTGGCTGCTGGGAACGTGGAATCATCCCTGCAGGTGACCTGGGTCCCTTAGCCCTCACGGCCTAGCTGGCCTCCTCCGCTGGGGACCTGCGGACTTGCGGGCCCTGGGCCCTGGCCTCTGCCCGGGGCTGTGTGTGGGGAGCAGGGCGAGGGGGGCTCTATGACTTGTGTCTAGGTCAACCCATTTCTCACTTGTAGGAAAACCTGGCGACTGCCTTTCTTGAGCTTTCTTCTCAGAGGAGATGAGACAACTTTTGTTCTTTTTTTTTTAATTGAAGCATAGTTGATTTATAGTGTGTTAGTTTCTGGCGTACAGCACAGTGAGTCAGTTACACGTATGTATACGTTCTTTCTCATAGTCTTTGTTACTCTAGGTCACTACAAGCTATTGAATACGGCCCCCTGTGCTCTACGGTGGGACCTGGTTGTGCATCTATTCTGCACGTAGCAGTTTTGATGGAGGGAAGCAGGTGGTTCTTTCCAGCCCGCTCTCCGGGTCTCCGCCACCTCCTGCAGGATTTGTGCTCATGATTGCGAGGCTGATGCTTCCATGCACGTTGGGGAGTTTCTTCTCTATTTCCTCCGCTGTGACCTTCCTGCGAAGTTCCATCACGTGCCCCTGGTGGAGCCCGGGCAGGACCTGAGGTCTCAGCTGCAGCTCCTGCATCTCACCTTCCAGCTGTGGGATTTCAGACGGCAGGCATGCTCCCTCACCTTGGCGGCTTCTCCTCTGAACTGTCAGAGCTTTGTTCATCTGCTTTTCTTCATGGAACATCTCCTATTTTCCTTGTTTTCTTCCTTCAAGGCTTTGGAAGGAGGGCAGCGAGGTGGGCATGCTACGTAGAGGACAAATGGACCACATCCCTACCTGAGACCTGCCTCCTGACAAAGATTCCTTCTGTAGCTGGAAGCCCCTTGCCTGCCAAGGTCACAGGGCCTCCCTCCCTCCTCGAAAGGCCCTCCGCATCCACGCTGCTCCTCCACCAGCAGGGCAGGGCCAGAGGACCAAAGGGCCTCACCCAAACGATTCACTTATGACCTGCTTTCACTCAGAAGAAGTCCGTCCAAATGGGCACCAGCTCCATGTCTTACAGATGTTCAGAGGAGCCCACCTGTCCTGTTCAGTCCGAGCATATCTAGACAGGGCTCCTCGAGGGTGACCTGTGGCCAGGCGCCGTCCCCCACAGTTGTCCAGTTGTCTGAGACTTGTGTCTCTGTGGGCGGCTCTGCCAGACGATGGGTCCATCCTGACATGGACAGGCCACCCTTGGTGCTTCTGACGGCGTCTCCTGCTCCAGGTTCCTACCTGGCAGGCTGGGGCCCAGCACTGCCTTGTCCACCACCTGACTCTGTCCTGCTCCGCTGCCCACAGTGCCTCTGCCTCTGGCGGGAGGTCCCGGTGGGCACTGGGGAGCAGGCCACAGGCCAGACCAGGCCTGGCGGCGGCAGGAAGGAGAACCCGGGCCACCTCTGCCCGCCGTTCCTGGCACTTCTCTCCCTCCCTGCCCCTGGAGGGGCTCCGGTTGCCCAGCCCTTCGTGGGCCGCAGTGCACTGATGGTTTTATATTGGACTCCTGCTTAAAATTTCACTTGAATGAATATTTCCTCAGCTATAAAATTGAATCACCGCTGAATGGTACACTCAAATATGGTGAAAATGGCAAATCCTGTTTATATTTTACTACAATAGAAATAATTTTCTGAACAATTGCTGGATCAGGTCATCTCTAAGGCCCTATTTGGCTCCAGATTCTGCACCCTGTCATCTGAGAGGTGACCCCTGCACTGTGGGCTCTGTTCCGTCTCCTCCTAGCACTTTAGAGCAATGAGGGGTCTTCTGTGGGAAGACAGGGACCCTCCCTCCCTTGCCTTGAGGAAGGAGGACCCTGCCACAGTCGCGGGCACCTGGTAAGGACATCCAAACCACAGTGTAGAAAGTAGCGGGAAGTGGGGAGAAAGGGGGTGTTCTGGCATCAGCTGCTAAAAACTGGAGAACAGCCCTTATCCTATTTTCCATTGTCTCCAAACCCAGTTTCCTAAACAGGATGAGAAGTCGAAGGAGTAAATAGGTACAAAGGTTAAATTCAGATACTTATAGAATGATGTGAAAAGGATTTTTTAAAAATCATTTTAACAACTGGTATCAGAATGCCTCTCGGTGGTGGGGAAGACTGTCTTTGTTAGAGAAAATACCTCAAGTGGTCCCTAGTGTGGGTGACAGTCTAGGCCCCAAGGGTTCCGGGAGGTGGCAGCTGTTCTGCGTAAGGCAAAGGGGGCCACCTGCAATTTTAATTCTGAAAAAGAGAACAGAGGAGCCCACTGAGATGGGGGAGGGGGAGAGGAGCCCACTGAGGTGGGGAGGTGGGCAGTGAGGAGAAAGGAAGGGACCCAGAAACCACACAGGTGGAGGGAGCTGTGTGGTGAGAGGAAGGACCTCACCCAGAAGCTGTGCTGCTCAGGGAAGCCTTCTCACTAGAGAGAAGACAGAAGGTCTGAGATTTATGTATGAGGAACAGGAGCCTCGAGGCTCTTGGGAACTGGGCACACTTGGGCAGGACCATGAACCTTGGAGCTGGGACAGCCCAAAGGATGTGACTCGTGTATCCAGGGACCAGCAGGTCTACCTGCCATCTGGCTCACATCTAGAAAAGGGTAGGGTCATGTGCCCTTGGCTTCACAAGGAGAGCAGAACTTACACTGCCACACCAGGTCCTGCCGGACACTTTAACCTGGTCTCTGACACACAAACCCAGGAAGCGAAGATCTGCCCCAAAAGGGGCCCTACCCTGACACCCCCTGGATGGCTCTGTTGTTGCCAGAGGGGAGGAGAGGAGACCAGTGGGAAATACGGGATTTTCCCTGGCTCGTCTGTCCTGAGTCCTGCTTCCTCCTCAAAAACAAGCCACCAAACCAGCACAGCTGTGGCCAGGCCCCAAGGAACCCCGCAGCAAGGGTTGCCAGGGCCTCCTGGTTAAAAATAACCTGCAGCCGCTGCACCAGGATGGTGTGCTCTAAGCTCAACCCTGCAACAGGCCTGAGCTGCAATCATTTTATCCTCGTTTTACGAAAGAGGTGGCATAAGCACAGAGAGAGTGATCTATCAGCCCAAGATTGCACAGCTGGGGAGTGGCAGAGATAGGACTCAAACTCCAAAAGTCTGGCCAAGTCTGATGCCTCAGATGTTGGCTTTTGCTCCTTCCAAGCCAGGAAAGCAGTGAGGGCTTGAACCCCTTATACTTGGGCAAACTCACTCTCAGCCTCATTCTTCTCACCTGTAAAGTCAGGTAAGAGGATCAGGAGATGGAGGTGGAAGCTGCCAATCCCTGTGAAGTCCAGACCCTGAGCTGGCCCTATGTCCCTTCTGCTGCACCCTACTAATCAGAGCAGTTATCGGCCAGTCCAGGCTCAAAGTGAGGGGAAATAGTCCCCATCTCTCAAGGTAGGTGTAATTGTCTCCATTTTACAGATTAATAGATTGAGGCTCAGAGAGGTCAAGCATCTAGGGTCACAGAACTTGCGACACGGAACCAAGATTCGCACCTGGACTATGGCCTGGGCTGTCTGGTCTAAAGTCTGGATCTTCTGCTGGCCTCACTGTGCACTGGGGCAGGGCCATTGGGTCAGGACTGATGGCCAACTTCACCATCTGACCCTGCAGTTCCCAGCTCAGGCTGCAGCCTTATCTGGGCAACTTTGAAATCACAGTCCCCTGGCCCTGCTCCTAGGGTTTGACTGTAATTGGTCTGAGGTACAGTCTGGGCACTGGGAATTTTTAAAGCGCCCAGATGGTTTTCATCGCAGCCAAGGGCTGGGGACACTTTCAATGAAATGTCTGCAGTCTGTGTGTGGGACCTTCCGGTTGACCTTCTTTCCCTGACCCTGAGCGCCCCGCTCCAGCCCCGTTCCCATCCCTCCCTCCAAGTCGGAGGGACTGTCACTCGGTTAGACAGAGAAAAGACATTTGGTCCCTGCGCAGGAAGGGGAGAGAACAAGGGGCCCCACCTGAGCAAGTCCAGGCTCAGCTCTGCTGGGGGACTGGGGTAAGGGTTCAAATCCCATCTCTGCCACTTACTAGTTGAGGCATCTTTCATGTACAAGATGTGTTAATAGTGACTGTCATGCCTACTTCACCAAGAATTTTGACTGTCATGCCTACTTCACCAAAGACGGAATGAATATAAAAAGGCTTTGTAAAGAAATGCAAGGCTTTTAAACGGAAATCTACAAAACACCATTTGAAGAAATTAAAGGCCTAAATAGATGAAAAGGTATCCCTTGTTTGTGGATTAGAAGATTTAACATCATTGAGATTTAAAATTGTCAATATTGTTAATACTATGCAAATTGACCAACAGATTCAGTGCACTATCAGGTTTAAACATTCTCCTGGCCAGGGAATCAGAAGGCTGCTGGAATTCCAACATAAGATGCACATTTTTTTCACAGTTTAACAACCCTGAAATTAGAGTGTATCTTAGAGAGTGTGTCGTGGTTTAATGGTCATAGGGCCTCTCCAGCTGGGGTCCTCCCAATGGGGTCAGGGAGATGCCCTCCCAGAGCCACCCCGGCCTCCAATTCCAGGAACCCCATGGACTTCCTCCCAGGGTCTGTCTTCCTGAGACTCAGCCAGTTTGCATCCCACAAGGGGCAGCCGTTTGCAGGGGAGGGGTGCGGGTACCAGCAGGCTGGGCTGACCACGTGTGTGCCTGCATACGTGTGTGGTCCTGGTGCGGTTGCAGTGTGGGTGGGAGCAAAGGGGGTGGGCAGAGCTGGCTCCCCTACACCATCGTGTTTTGGTGCATAACTAAAGGGGGCCAAAAATTCTAAATTTGAACCTGGACTTGAGGCCCTTGTGAAGGCCTATTTGTCAAGGTAAGAGGTTGGAACGTATTTTATTTAATAGTTTATGAGCCTAATTTATAATTTTAAAATATTTAGACATATATGGGGGCCTCTGATTGCCCCGGAGCCTGACAGTGTTAGGGTGAGGTCTGCCAAGTCCTTTCCTCTGAAAATGCCAGCCCGGGGATTGGTAGGGGCTGTCCCTGTCACTGGAACACCCTCCCCCATTTGACTTCACGGCCAACGCCAATCTTCCCCTCCAGTCTTAGCTGAGATTCCTGACTGCTTTGGGGCAGACTTGGCCTCACGGGGGCCTTGGCACCTTTGTCCCTTTCTCTCAGCACTGGCTGGTCAGCGCTACCCGGGCTGTGTGGAGGCCTGGCTGACAGCGGGAGCCAGGAGGCTCTGACCTTGGCCAGCACCCCCAGAACTCCTAGACCCACTGTGGGTGCTGCGGGTAGCACGTGCATCACCCTGCAATCCATCTGCCCCCTTAGTCCAGTTGCTTAATACACCTTCGATCCTCAAACTAATGTGCACTTGACTCACCTGGCCGTTTTTTAAAGTGCAGGTTCTGATTCTGTAGGTCTGGGGAGGGGCCTGAGAGTCTGCACTTCCAACCAGCTCCAAGGGGGTGCCAATGCTGCTGGTTCAAGAACCACACTTTAAGCAGTGAGGCTGGAGTGCTCATCATTTCTAGAAAGACAAGTTTAATAGATGTGTTGCCTGCAGCCAACGCTTTCATGTAAACTGTGGATGATGTAACCCTGAAGCCAGACTGCAGCTGCCCGCGGGTCCCATGGGAGAATCTGGAACAGTCCTCACGAAGGAGAGCAGTTCCGGGCCTCAGGAAACCACAAAACAAAAAAAACCACAAAAGGGGGCTTGGAATCCAGGCAGCAGCGGTGTCTCTGCAGCACCCAGGCCTGTACCTGGCTCTTGGGCTCCAGGCTCAGTGGAGCCAGGGCTCGCCCAGTGTCCTCCGGCGGGACATCTCTCTCTGGGCCTCTGTCGTCACTGTCTTCCACGAAAGTGGGAGAGGGAACACTTTTAAAAGAAAGAAGGACCTGTGTAAACAGCACTTAGCACCACATGCCAGACACCATCCCATGTGCTTCTCCTGTGCCAATGTCTTTAACTCTCATGGCAATCCTTGAAGGTTTGTCTTCTTATGACCATCTTGCCGATGGTGAAACTGAAGTCTTGAGAGAGGAATTGCCCAAGGTCACATGGTGCCATAAGGCCCCAGACAGTCTGGCCCCCAAACCCAAGTACGTAACCAACTGGCTCTGCAGTCTCTCTAGTGTGAGGCTGGGTTCAGACAGTTAGAAGGACTGGCATCCTCTCCATCCCCCACCCCACAGCCCCGAGGCCCCTGTGTAGACACAGCCATGAACCTCTTCCAGGTGTCCCCTCTGGCTCTGGGGCTCTGACCACAGACAGGCTGGTACTGAAGAGCACACCTGGGCATCCTCCCCTTCCCTGAGCAGCCTAGGGCCTCCAGAGGGGGGACTGGCCACATCTTCCTGGACCTGGTGGTGCCTTCTGCTGGGAAAGGCTCCTACTCCCAGATTTGGCGCTGTCCTGTTTTGTGACACCCCAAGCTCCCCCAACCTAAGTCCCTTCCTCAGGATTTTTTTAAACATTTTTATTGATTTATAATCATTTTACAATGTTGTGTCAAATTCCAGTGTAGAGCACAATTTTTCAATTATACATGAACATATATATATTCATTGTCACATTCCTTTCTCTGTGAGCTACCATAAGATCTTGTATATATTTCCCTGTGCTATACAGTATAATCTTGTTTATCTGTTCTACAATTTTGAAATCCCAGTCTATCTC